TCTATTTTTTCATGGTTTTTTTTTATTTATTCTTTAATTTTTTTTTATATAATATAAAAAAAAAAAAATTATTGAAAAATTATATAAATATTAAAATATGGTTTATTGGTTTAAGGTTTGGTTTGGTTTATAATTTTTGCAAAACCAAACCAAACCATAAACCATATTTACAAAAAAAATCGAGTCCAAACCGTAATTTTATAAACCGTAAATCAAACCAAACCGCTAATATACGGTTTGGTCTGGTTTGGGTACGGTCCAGAACAAACTGTGTACAACCCTAATTAAAACACATATTTTAAGAATACAAAAAGGGACAATATGCCTCTAGACATCTAATCTTCAAGATCAAAAAAGTTGGTACAAAAGTACCTTTTTTTAGGAAAGTAATTTTTAAGTAACTAAATAACCAACAATAAAACAATCTGATAGTGTAACAAACTAACAATAGTCAAAGAAGTTGTTAAAATACATGTTGGACTATGTTGGTCTCATTATCTTCGAACAGAAGATCAAAAGCACACAGGAAGCTATTCAAATCACAACATGTTCGTACATGATAAACACATTTGACAAAAGAATATAAACCTCTTTTTGTGCAAATTTAATCCCTCTATAACAAAGAGTCTTTAATATTATACTCCCTCCGTTACGAATTACTCGCAACAAAGAGGGAGTTTGCGGACTTCTAGGCAAAATATTGAAAACATGATTAATGAAAAATAAGGGCATACACTTAAGTGTTAATCTACCACCCCCCAAAAAAAAACAAATTAAATAAAAAATCATATTCCAACAACTTGAATTCAAGAACCACCACCACCACCTAGCACCACAAAACTACCCAACACCACCATCTAGCACCACAAAACCACCCAACACTACCATCTAGCACCACAAAACCACCCAACACCACCACCTAACAACGCAAACCCACTAACCACCCAGCAGCACCAAACCCACTACAACCCACCACCACCCACCCCAAAACCCACAACCCACGAACCCAGAACCACAACCCGAAATGCACAACCCACGAACTCAGATCCACCACCCACAATAGCAAAACTCACAACCCACAACCCCAAAATCCACAACCCATAACTCGAACCCAAACCCAAAACCCCAAAAATTTAAAACCCACAACTCTCTATCATCAATTAAAGCTCTAATTGGTCGAATTAAACAATTAAAATTCTAGATCTAGATTTTTCATGGTTAAATTTGACCATAAAACCTTCAAATATGTGCTTCACTGACAGTGGAAAAGCAATAAGAAGAGGAAGAGAAAGAAAATGGAGGCGACCACAACAGTAAGCACGACAGCAGTGACTTCCGACGACGGTGGTGTCTCCATAGAATGTTGTGGTCGAATCGAGGGGAGATGAACAAAGAACAAAATTTTTGGTGAATAGAATGGAGATTGGTGGTGGTGGTGGTGGTGAGAATGAATATAGATGGAAGGGGAATGATTTTGATGGAAATAATTAAGTTAATCAATGTTAGGATTTAAGTTAATAAGTTAAAATAATTAGTTTAATTAGGGTGTTTAAAAAAAAGTAAGGGCAATTTTGTAAAATCACATATAAAAACTTACTATAAAAGGAAAAAAAAAGTTTATTGCAAGTAATATTAAAAACCATTTTTAGTAATTGTTGCAAGTAATTCGTAATGGAGGGATTACTTATTTACACACCATGACTAGAAACTAATTAGATAGCTGCATCTCTTAAGAGATCTTACACAAATCAGTACCACTGTATTTTTTATGGATATACATAATGACTCATTCAAGAAATTTAACTCATGTAGTCATCCTACTCGTTTGACAGATCAATGTAACACGAGGAAAGAGAACTAGCTTTACAATAAGCACAAGGTAGCTATTACAAGTATAGAGAATACACTTAGTTCACACAAGGGAATAGCAAAACCTAATTGGACATGAGGTGAAAGCAGACTATAAACATACTAGGTTATTCCCGTGCAATGCACGGTTAGAATTAATTTTTTTTTTTTATAACTTATGTTCTTGTGCATTACGTTGTATATAAAAATTAGAGTCACATATATATAAAAACAATTTACAATTAAGGATACATATATACCACATTATTTATAGCTAATAATTGAAAAAGTTGAAAGAATTTTTTTTATGAATGCATATTAATGAATATGAAGAAAAAAATACACAATATACAATTAGAACCAATGTCATCAAAATTATTATTTTAGCTTCCAACAATTAACAGGTTTGTATAGTAGTTAAAATCATCTATTTGATTTTTTAGTCATAATTCATAAAACAATTTTCAAAACCAATAATATAATAGTTTAGCTTTAACATAAAATAAAAAAATAAAGATGATGTCATAAAGCATTTAGGCAGGAAATTTTTTTATCAGAAAACAACATGTTTACAATTTTGGAGAAAAATGATGTCAGCATGTTGTTTTAGTATTAGTTAATAGATTTAACTTTGTTTGTTGTTGAGTTAGAAATGAGAACCACATCTCAGCTTTGATGTTTGGATTTTGCTCCATATTTAATCATCCTCCTCTCCCTTGCTCATATAGCCTCATCCCAAAACAATTCACAATTAAATTAACCACAATTCGAAAGAAAGGGTTTTTCTTCTTCGAAAGACAAGGTTTTTTCGATCTCCTTCGAAAGACAAGGTTTTTCGTACTCCTTCGAAAGACAAGGTTTTTCGTACTCCTTCGAAAGACAAGGTTTTATTTGTGCTTAATTTGGTCTCCGGTTGTGCGGGGCTACTATTGATTGTGGCTCGGATTCGGGTTACAGAATTAACACAAGAATTTACTTTCTCACAAAGTTGCGAAGCGACGACGAATCCACTCAAAAAGTTGTATGAGACAACGAATCGAGAATATGCCGAATTGTTATATTTATGTATTTGGATTCTTAGCCCTTCCCCAATTAATTCTTGTTTGATTTTGTTAAATTCGTTTTCATTATCGTTCATTGTCAATTGTAGATGCCGTATGACTTACATTAATGAAATTTAGTGTCCATTTAGGAATTTTTTCAAAAAAAAAAAAAATTAACCACAACTAAACATATGCAGATATGCCACTCATCCTTTTGTTTGACCTTCCTTTTCTTCCATGCTTTCCAAAAAAAACACCTTCCCCTTTTTTTTTCCCAAAAACCACAACTCTATCTACTAACCACCTTTTATCTTTCGTTCCTTCTGCCCCAAATAAAAAAAACAAACACCAGACAACCTCTCCCTTATTCGTATGACCAAAAACATTATAAATAGCTACAATCGACCAAGTTTTTGAATATTCCCAAATCAAAGCCACATTTCCCATTTAAGACATTTTTAGAAAGGTGATTAAAAAAAAGACAATGGGAGGGTACAGGGTATTAATAAAGGGAAAGAGAATGAAGAGGGTTGATTCCCATTGTTGGTGTTTGCAATGACATTTTATTCATCCCTTTGCCCTCTTCATTCCCCCAAAATATTCTAGCTTGATTCCCCAAACCCCCTTGGTATTCCCATTCCTTGGCACCTTCTCACCACCATACACCTACCTCCACTACAACAAAATAAATAAAAGGTAACAATGGAAAACCATTGCCTAATATTAAAAAAGTGTTGCCTTGTAGCTAAGGCAACACATATGAGGCGTAATTTATGCCCCCGTTGTCTATTCATAAGGCAACACATTTTTATTCAAAGGCAACAATTTTGAAAGGCAGGGTAAAAAGATACATAAGGCAACACTTTTACAAAGACAACAAATGAAAAATGTTGCCATCTAAAGAGATAATTAAAAAGTGTTTCTAAATGTTGTCACTCCCAAACATTTAGTAGTTGGTAGGGCTCGAACTTGTGACCTCAAAGTCACAAGTTGAGTTTCCCACCAGACTTTGAATGTATATATATATATATATATACACACACACACACACATATAAATGTGGCTGTAGATGACAACATAGATATTAATGTTATATTTTCAAACAATAGTTTTGCTATTGTTATCTTTTCATGCAACAATTATTATATTTGTTGTCTTAGACAAGAAAAAGGTAACACTTTAAGTAACTGTTGCCTTATATGGTCTAGAGTAACATTTTTTTTTCCCGTTACTTTAGTTCAAGGTAACAAATAAATATTGTTGCGTTAGATTATTAAGAGTAACATTTTTGTAAGTGTTGCAATCTTAAGTGTTGCCTATTCTCATTTTTTTGTAGTGCAACTCCATCCTTAGCACCACTAAAGGCACTAACCAATCACGACAGCGCACCTACACCACCACCAACCCACACCATTGGCGCAACCCTTCCACCAACAACCCACCACCACCACTCTTACCACCCACAAAACCCCCACCTTAACCCACACCACCCTTTCACAACCCATGAAACCCCCATTTCCGCCCTCACTGCCACAACCCTACTCGAACCTTACTCGAACCTACACCGCTACACCTTAGAAACCCGCCAACAATCAACTGTCATCCACTAAAAATCCACCGCCACCTTGGAAACTCACCCAAACCTACCCAAAAATCAACCATCATCCACCATAAATCCAACCCCACTATCAATTACCCACCCCATCCACCAAACACCCCCCTTCTTAATCTAGAAAAATGTAGATCTAAGATAGAAATAAGAAAGAGAACTATAAGAGAATTATAGATAGAGGGAAGTTACTCTAATGAAATGGATGGTGGTAGCCCGGTGGAGCTTCATGTGCTGCAAGTTTAGTTGTGGAGGGTGATTGTTGCTGTTAATTTTTTTCTCTCTTGATTATTAAACAAACATCATAGTAAACACAAAGGTTTTTAATTCCTTTCACCTCCTTTCCCTTTCTTGATTTCATACCCTTTTGTTTTACCAAATGATTTCAGGCTTTGGTTGATTAAAAACGTAGAAGAAAATACTTAGTGGGACATGATTATTAAGGTGAATTAGGTAAAAAAAAAAAGTGGAGAAATGAGACTCTTTTCTAGGGACAATAGTTTTGGGTGAAATAGAACTATTATTTGTTGATAAAGGGATTACTATATCAATGAGGCCATTAAACAAAAGACTTGATAAACACTATCCACATCATAGACTATTTAATAATAGTTGGAAAATTAAAGTCCTTAAGAAGAATGTTTTAAATTATTTAATCACAATACATTCACATGGAGATTGAGGTCTTCACGTCCCTACATATCTACGACCTCAAAAATCAAGCACCACAAGTCTATGTTGAGTTGTTGTACTAGGGATCACCTTACAATCAACGTAACTCTTCCTTCGAGCATTCCTTAGGACCATAAGTCAATAGGTGAGAGATCACATGTCCATTGAAATTTCCCCCAATGACCAACTTCTCACTCCTTAAACCTGTTGCACCACTTCATCAAAGTCATCCTAAAATTCTTGTCTTACAAAGTCATCCAATCTTGTGGTGGCCCATTATCCGGTCAAAGTCAGGTATGGAACTTTTCTCTAACCAGGTGAGGGTCCTCACCATCCGTTTGGCAAACCAAACAAGATCCGGCTCGTCAGATGTAAGATCTGCACCAAAAGAAGTACTTGGTGAGAAGGATGCAACATAGTTGGCATTCATTCACTTCCGTCTATTTGATGCCGTAGAGGCATCCGGCGCATTCTTCTGCAAGCGTTCTGAGCTTTCACTCAGAATTTTAATGGCAGAATATCCGGGCAATCTTGGCAGCTGGAGTCTTTTATAGATCCTCCCCTTGCCTTTTGAAAAGCTTGGAGATGGAGCATGGAAAGCTCTTAGCAGTATCCTGCAAATTAAGAAGTAAATGTTACTAGCTAGCAAAAACCTTTGCAAGAAATGTAAAGAAAAAACTAAAGTCAGGAGGTCTTACCCTGCCTTTCTTGGCCTCAACGGCTGAAACACACGTAATAAGAGCCTATATATGTACCAATCTATTCTAATGCGTAAATTAAATCCTTATTCAGTGAAGTCTAAAAAGCACTTTAAGACAAGGAAAGATGACAAGCTTGATACATAATTAGACACCCGCAATAATACCTTAAACAAATTACAAGCCTTTGGCTAACTCAATGACTTTTTTTTCCATACATTTGCATAATATTATTTCACAAGATGTAGAAAGGACAATCAACCAAGAATTACAAGAGACAACTAATGTGGTAAAAAAAAATATTCATCCTATTATTTTTAAAGTTTTAAGCATAATATTTATTCCCTAAAACAATACTTGTATATCTTCTCTTAATATGAAGTATATAAAGTACAAAATATGAAATACAACACGGATGTGGAAAACCCTTCTTCAACAATAAGGGAAAAAAAAACCACTATCCTAATCACCCAGGAAGAAAAACTTAACCAATAATATTTAGAGAGCAATGATAAAACCAATACTAAATTATTAGGTACAAGGACAACTACGATTAGTATCCTTAATAATGGTACTTATAAACCTAAACAATTTCTCACCATCTATATTATATTTATTTCACATCATAACTACCTTACCATATTATTTAATGCACACATACAATACTCTTGTTATTCTTCTTCTGCTTTCCATCATTCTTCTCTCGATATAACCAAATCATGAATATGAATTTGGTTATCTTTCTTTTCCTTTTCCCTTTTCTCCTTTTCTTTCTCATGTTATATTTTGTTTTAGGGAGAGTAAACCAACATCATATTGAGTTCACTTTAAGAATAAATTTTTAATACTACCTCTGTTTCATATTATGTGCAACATTTACTAAAAATGGATGCTACACTTTATTTGCAACAAATGTTTTCTTTCCTTTTATTGATTGTCAATTCTCTCTATCTCTCTCCTCATCACATGTTTTTTTATATTTCTCTCTCCATTAACCACTCACATACAAATTTTGTCTAAGAGTCCGTGTTGATGTTTTTGTTGCACATAATATGTAACGGAGGTATTATTTTCAATTGTAAGTTTCTTGATGTATAAATTAACATCTTATGCTAAAAATATACACAAGAAAAAAAGGAAACGACTTCTCTATAATGCATGTTGTCGAATAATTGAATCTTTTAAGTTTCATTGTTATAATCACTTACATTATAAGTGCAAGAAAAAACGGGTATTTTTCCAATAGAACTTAAGTATTTATATATGATTTTCCTTGGACTACCTACATGCCTTAATTATATGTTTGCAATAACATATTGTCATACTAGTTAAAGCTCTAACAACATTTTTTATGTTAAAATTACAGGTCATTTTTATAATTGCATCGGAGATCACCCCTGACACATGCCCTCTATTAACAAAAATAGCAATGAAGTTTGGACCCTTAAGATCTAGTATAGTAAACCTATTGATATCAAACCATCCATTATTTAGTTGAAGGGTTTCATTTGCAGTTGTTGGGGTTATGTTTTTAATCATCTTCACCTTATCTTTTTGCCTCACTAAAAGCCCAATATTTATGTTGGAGAAAAATAAAAAAGATGAAGCGAAAAGGATTCTCCAACGAATGAGTCGGAAAGATAATATTGAAGAGACATTGGATAAATTGGAGGATTTAGTAATTAGAAGCAAGACAACTTCTCCAATAACACTAATAAAACAGTTAAGCCGTCCACCACTCATCATCACCATTTTTATAGCCACCTTACCCATCTTTACTACCGTTGGCACGATCCAATTTTATGGTCCCATATTATTACAATCAGCCAACATCTCACAGCAAGCTACATACTTACCTCCCATATTCATAGTAGTAATACAAATATCCACTAGCCTCCTAAGCCTGGGCATGGTAAAGATATTTGGTAGAAAAAAGGTATTGTTGTTCTCCATCTCGTCAAGAATGATTTTGGAGGTAAATTTAATTTACTTTCCTTATGATGTTTCATTGAAATACTATTTAAATAAATGGATTTTAGCGTTTTCCAAATGTAAGCATCATATATCTACTAGTTCCGCAATATGATATATCTTATAACCTTAATGGTCGGAACTATTAATGAACGAACCGAATCATAGCGCATTTGTTATTTTTAAAATGGGAAATGACTAGCATCATCTCATTATATCTACCTTTATTTATTTTCATGTGATAAGTCATCATGAAGAAATCTTAATATTACGCAATTGTATAATGAAAAAATTTTCTTACTTGTCAAAAATTAATGTTATCTACAACTTTTTGCAGGTGATATTATGCATTGAATATTACAAGAATTCTCACGTGTTAACATATTTTAACTTTTCACAATCTACGCTCATCATTGGAGGCATTTACGTGGCGATGGATTCATTTTTACAATTACCAGATGATTGGCTCAGTGGCGGATCTTATACTAAACTATATGGGGGGCCAAGTTATAAAATTTAATAAATTCTAATTAAAATTATAGATATATAACTATTTACAAAAAACAATAATCTGACTGGTGTCAAGTTTAAAAAAAATGACATCAATCGTCCTTACTTAACTATTATAGAGGCTTCCTTCCAAAAAAAAAAAAAAAAAAAGAACAACTATTATAGAAGCTTGTTATATACAATTAAAATATGATAATTAAATAATAAATTACTATAAGAAAACAATATGCGAGTTTGATCTAAAATTTTACTTTATACAGCTTATATGGGCCAATAGATGCAAACAACATATCATGATACACGTACAATATATGTACAATATATGTACAAAAATAATATAATTATTAAAAAATACATACCATTTTGATTTGTAGTTGTTAAATTGTAAATAATAAAATAAATTTGTAATGATGTCATGATTCGAGCGTAAAAAATTAAGGTCTCGATAAAAAATAAATTTAAATATTAATTTTTCTTAATTAAGTAGTAAAAGTATCTATGTTATATTAGGTTTTAATTTCCATTTATTTGAACCAACTTGAAAAAGTTGTTGTATTTGTCACTAGCTTGACATAATATTTTTATCACGCTAGTCTAATAACTCTTATAAAATTAATAGAGGCCGAACCCTTATGAGCCCTAATGAAGAACCTCCCCTGGTTGACTGAAAGTATCATTCACAACAGATTCAAAAGAAATAGGATCCACACTTGCAATGGCACTAGGACCACTCCAAAACGCTATCTATTATTAGTTTGCAAGTTAAACAAAGCAATTTTCTTTTTATTTATTTTTTGGGATGTCATAGTTGGTTTATTCATAGTCTTCTTTGTACCAGAAACAACTAACATAAAAATTCTGACATAGTTAGCAAGGTTTGGAGTAGGCATTGGCTATGGAAGAGGTATGTTAGGACTAGTGACACATATGAGTAGATAGTGTTATATTACACTACACTATTGTAAACCTATGTCATGTGTAACTTTTCCATCAAGGTTTATCCTATAATGTTTATTCCATTGTTATGTTCAAATCAAATTTTAAGTTGCGTATGGATCAAAATTAGCATAACATTATTCCTTATAAATCACATAACAAGACGTTAGAAAGAACTTGTTAATTAATATCATTTATCCGAGAATAAAACTACTCAATCAATTTGGAAACATTAAGGACTTAGGATTTGAAAAACTTTATATTCATTTCTCGCATAAGAAAACTAGCTAAACCTAATTTCAACATAGGTAACATGTAATGTGCAATTTAAGAGAAAGTAATATGTAAAGCACTGTTTATAAAAGAACAAAATTACTAACCTCAAGTTTCCAATCCTACTTTCCTTTGTATTCAATAAATCTATGCCCAACATGAAATCCTTAGATGACAGCAACCAAAACTACATCCTTTGTATTCAATAAATCTATGCACAACATGAAATCCTTAGATGACAGCAACCAAAACTACATCCTCGTAATCTATACAAAGAAGACAAAGAAATGAGCCGGTAACTTAGTGAAGAGTGATGAAGTAAGTAACTTTACACAGGCCAAACTAATAAAATTAACAATAGACAAGATAGACTATAACAAATTCCACATCATTTCTACATTATATTCCCATAGTATATCTCCATTAATCAATACTTTAGCAAAGCAGGAAGATATGAAAAGTGATCTGTACCCCAAATAACACTCAATATAAATCATGTCGATTCACAGAAATCAAACACCAAACTCCCAAGAACTAGATTAGGTCCTATCTTACAGAAATTTTAAGTACAAGCTTTCAAACCAACAAGTAACAACTAAAGCGGTATTACCAACCACCTTTATATAACAGATAATACATAAAGCATAGGGACTGGATTTCCAAACATGGTTAAAGGTTTGTGGAATTTGGCTTTTAGTATTCTTAAAGTAATTAATTGAATTTCTTGATGATGGGAGAATCATTCTTGGTTACAACAATCACCACATTGACATATATTGAATTTCAAAATCTAATTTGATGCTTTGTTTTATGCATGTGATGTAAAAAGTAGATTTTGTATTCTACTCTAGTTCCCTTTTCTGATTCACTTTGCATTTTGAAAATTAAGCCATGCAGAATCTAGCCCCATGGTAATGTTAATGCCTAACGACTTTGTTGATTAAGCCAATGCCCTGCAGTTATTTTAGTTTGTATCAATCTGAACCACTTTTATACTCCCTTCTATACACTTTACAAAAATGGATGGTACCAAAATTAACAATGTCTCTTTTTCTATTTGAGATATTTTTAAAATGATTAGATTTCTTTTTTTTTTTGGTGAAGGAGAGGGGCAAGCCCCATACAAAGAAAAGCAAAGAAACTGGAAAGGAAAACTCAAAAACAAAAGAGCAAAGAAAAACAGAAAATAAACTACACTAGTATGTCAAAATGACACTTATTCAGCCACAATTGAGACGAGATCATCCCCACTGAGCTCTTCCTTCCGGCACCATCCTTGGCAACGCCAATCCACCCAAGTCCTCCAATAAAACTACATGAAGGTCCTTCGGGACTGCCTCAATCATGACAAGCTTTTGAGATATCGTCACACCAAAGTGAGCAAGCCAATCTGCCGCTCGATTAGCTTCCCTAAAACAGTGTGAGATCTTGACATCCCAAGCCCGTTCTGAAATTAGTGCCTTGCACTTTCGGATTAGATGAATGAAAGGAGAGTGAGGTGGAACATCCTCCACCAACATGTTAATGACAACTTCTGAGTCAAGAGAAATGTGAACCTTCCGATGTCCACCCCTCCACGCCACTAGATTTCTATGTCTACGAGAAATTTCTTATTTTTGAAATATCGTAAATAACCACCCCAAAAAGCACACTATGTTAGCAAACCACCAATTTTTTACAAAATTAAAAAATAGCACCCCTTAAAGTCGAAACCAGTGGATATCACCACCCCTTCTCCTACTCCCGCCAGTTGACTAAGGGGCCTACATTCTTATTTTCCCTCCTTTTTTCTATTATTTTTCACGGTTGTTTGTCTGCAATTTACCTTCATACTAACACCATCTCATCACCACCGAACATCTTCATCATATCATCCGTCAAGCTGCCACCTTATTCGAAGCTCCACCACCACCAACCACAGCAGTACTTGTACCTAGTCAAGGTAGTTTGCTCATTCGAGTTTTAATCAGGCTTCCAATAAAATTAAATAGTCTAATTTAGATAAATTTAATTTTAATAAAATTATACCAATTGAATTGGAGAGGTTTGGTGGTTAAAATATTTCTAATATGTGGCTTTAATATCATTTAAATTGAATTCATTGATATTAAAGAAGTTAATGATGATAGAATTAGTTAAAACAAGTCATCTCCTAGTAATTTTTTGTTTCTTTATACTTCTCAATTCTACAAGTTTTAATTGTTTTTTTTTTTTTAATTATGGATATTATTGATTTAAACTTACTTTTCATTCAATCATACGAATATAATCTGAATTGAGTTTTTTTAGAGCTTTTATAAAGTGGGTTCCATATGAATTATTCCATTTTAACTCTTAGTTCATTGAGTATTAGTAACATTTTGTTTCCTAGTCATCGAGTGTGCCTTACCACCCCGTGCGCTCTTCGTGCACCTCAAGCGCCTAACCTGTGCCTAATAAAAAAGGCCTCGCCGAGGCCAAATATGTGCTTACCCTCTATCGCCTTGCGCCTCTAGGCGCTTTTCAAACACTGTTCTAATTGCCTATCTAAATGATTATGGTTATGGGGGCACACTTGCATTGTAAATTAGAAGTACTTGCTTAGATCTTGTAATATAGGTTTCCATTATTTGGTTTAGATTCTATAATATTGTTAGTTTCGTATTTATTATTCTAATTCTTTTTTGTAAAATAAAACTGATTAAATTCAGAAGAATGCAATTTGATTAATATTTGGGTAAATGGTTTATTTTGTATATTATATGCATGGTAATAATATGAACCTCTCTCCACATCGCACAATCTCTCCGTGATTATCAATCTTTTTGGTTGTGGTAATTGGAGTCAACTCACTCAAGACAAGACATTGGCTAAATACAATTGTGATTTTATTTGATATTATTATTGTCTGCCTATTGCTGATTTACCTATAATAACTTCCATTTATCTCTACATGTCACTAAGAAATCACAGTCTAATGTCTTAGTTATGCTACTGTGCTTAAATAATTTAAGAAGTTTGTTTTTATTTCCATGTGAGAATCTAAAACTTTGATCGAATGACATGCTAGCTTTTTGACAATGTGAGAAATACATGTGCTCAATTAGGTTCTGCATATATGTTCATTTATTCCTTTTGCATTCCAGTTCCACCTACATAGGCTCAAACTTACTTAGATACGCTCACACCCAAATTGGTTAAATTTGAGCTAGATAGGTTAATCTTGACCCATACTTCCATAAGTTCCATTTCGGTCCCATTATGTTCTCTATCAGCTATTTTTGCTTCGAATTTATCCAAATAGGTTAGCTTATGCCTAGAAACCTAATTTGTGCACAATTTGGTTCTTTTGGGTGGGATATGTTCAAATATGCCTTTATTTGTTATAATTCAGCCTACTTAGGCTCAAACTATCCCAAAGTGGTTGAATTTGAGTTAAGTAGGTTCAAACACCCCCTTAGGGATGGCAATTTAGTTCGAATTTGATTCGAGGAAAAATCTCCAATCCGAATATGATAATAATAAATTTGAATCCGAGTCCACTAACAAAAGTCCAAATCCGAATGAGTGGTGGATCGAACTCGGATCTTGTGTATGGGTCCACGAACCATTTAAAGGTATCGTCTATTTTTTTATTTCATCTGACTCCTTATACAGTATATAAATATTCCATATGAAACCAAATCCTAACTATGTCCTTCACCCCAACTGCCACATTCCACTTCCATTCATCTCCTATATAATATCTTTTTCTATCCCCTCTTTCTTAGCACCTCTTCCCTTAATTTCTTACTATAATCCAAGAAAATTTCTAGGATAATATATTCCATTGTTTGACTTTTACTCACTCTTATTTTCAAGAAGAAATTAGATACGACAATGGTGATACAAGAGTCTCCACTACCCAATAATTGATTGCCTTTCAATATTTGACTTTTCAATGGGAGAAAGTCGTCAAATCATCATCATACTCCAAGCATTGGACCTGGCTTCTTTGTTTGTCATTTGTTGTAAATATATAAGGATGGATATCGATATTACATCTTTCATTTTCTGTTACAATAGTTTATGATGTTAGATAATCGGATTTAATTGGATTCGGAGGTCCGCAGTTTGAAGGCCAAAAATCTGGTGGATTCGGACTTGGAGGAAGCTTGTCCAAACTTGGATCCGAATTTGGATCCAAATTTGTAGTTCCTTTATCATTCGGATTGTATTCGGATCTTGTTAGATTCGACCCTAATCTGATCCGTTGTCATTCCTACATCCCCTATTAATTCTATTTTAGACCTATTATGTTCCTTTCTATTTTGTTTGGACTATGTTCTAAGGACTAATTGCTAGTCATGGGGTGGTGATGTAGTGTAAGTGTGTAGCAGAGCTGTGGGTCTTGGACAGGTCCAGGGAGGAGTGGCAATTGACTTGCAAGCAGTTGTGGGGCGTGGTCAGGTGTAGGAAGGGGGTAGTGGGCACAGGACAAGGGGGGTTGTTGCCTTGTTGGTGTGGGTTATAGTGTGCAGGCAGGGAGAACGGGGATGCCTTGGCCAAAATTATAGCAGTGCAAGGCTACTGTACAACACAACCATAACAGAAACACAGAACAACATCTACAAAGAAAAGGTTATGAAGTGTTTGATGAGGTTTTGGTGAGATAGTTATTGGTCTGGGTTTGCCATCTATCTTTTTATATTTGATATATTGAGTGCAGAAGTTGTATAAAAATATAAAAGGAAAAATATAGCTAGAGCCCCCGTCACCCAAGTATAATTAGACCATCAAGATAATTTTTTTTAAAAATAAGACAAAACTAAAGAGACATCTATAGCTAAATCTTAATCTTCTTAGTGTGTATAACAAACCACTGCTACACTCACTACTCAAAAATAATATTCAATTACTAATCAAGCATAGAAAACAAAGAAACCTATTTTGAGGGAAGGTTGGAAGCTTTTCATTAACAAAGACAAAAACTTTCATAATGGTAGTGGCTTGAGGCCACTACTCTCCAAAATTGTAACTTCAGGTTACAATCTCAATGCCCAATTACCACATTCAAGCCACCCCAAAACTGATACCCCTTCCCCTTTTTATATGTACACACAGTCAGCAAAAGAGAGCAAGGATCCCAATACTCCCCTACCACACTTTGTCACATTCTCTGAAATTACTGCTCCACTATTGCACCCCTCAACAGTTCCTTCTTGCGCCTCCTCTCACATGTAATCAGGCCACGTGGCCCTCTAGCTAGGTTTGTTACATTGTGATCTTGAGAGGCAACTATATCACGATTATATTGTTTTTATTTACTTAATATATTAGCCTTTTTATAATTATGTTCTAATAATTTTCTTGATTTCTTGTTCTAATAATTTTCTTATGCTTTTATAACAATAATATGTTAGTTTTTTTTTCTTGTTATTTTGAACAAATATTTCTTTTTATTATTTTTGTAAAGGCTTTTTATTCTTTTTTTGGTTTTGGTTGACAATAATGATAAATACTAATTTCAAGTATATTTTGTAAGTATGTATATCAAATATAAGTATTAAATTTTATTATTTCTCTAAAATTATTGGGCAATATATATTTATTTCACAATAACAAATGTGACATATATAGGTAAAGTTCGTCATTTTAAACATTTAGCCATGTTTCTAGCCATAGCAAAAGCTAATGTCTAGTGAGTTTGGTAGCCACAAGACCACAATAATATTTGTGGCAATTATTTGCCACGGTAATATTTGTGACAAAGAAGTTTATTACCCACGGTAATATTTGTGGCAAATAATTTTTTACCACAATAAAATTTGTGTCAAGGGAATATGTTTGCCACATGAATACCCATGGAATAACAATCAAGATTTTCACACCCTATATTTTCATGTTAAAAGCTCCTAGCCACGCCTTCTTGTGCCACGGGAGTAATTTTCAATATTTCCGAGGATAAATTGCATTGCTACAGCAATTTTAGACTTGTGCCTCGATTTTACATGTGGCACAAGTGTTAATTTGTTGTAATGCCTATCTATCTCTCCCAGCTTGAAATAGAAATTCAGATTAAGCAATAATGTAAACCCTTAAAACCTACATCGTTAAGTGTCATATTAATTACCCATAATGTTGCTATAAACTCAACATCTCAACCAGTCTATCCTCCTCACAATATTCTTTATGTTAAACAGGAAGTTTCTCACCCATATTTCCAGATCCAATTTTTGTGCAATACTGACTTTTTTTTTACATCGTGTAATGCTGACATTTATACCCAATATCAAGCTCTTTCTTATTCTCAGTAGAATAATCACACAAAATTCCTACATACAAAATTCTATTTCATCCCACAGCTACAATAAACCTCCTTTTCTTGTTTCCCAAAATAATCACAACCGAAGAACTCCCTACTTTTCAAAACCAAAAATCTCCCTATTTAGAAGATTTATCATATACATCTTCTTATTCATGTTTCTATGCATTTCTCTTTATAAAATTACAAAAACAGTAATTTGAATTAGCCATACAATTATACACAGAAAAAAATTGCTTATCCAGTAGCAAATCACTGTCTTTAGCCATAGCCAAAATCAATCCCTCGAAAAATATAACTGCTTATTTTAAAAAATCATTAACTAAATCTGAGTCTCTTCCTTAGCCTAAAATCCGTCAGTGACTCTCTTGAAAAGAAACATAAAAGCACTCGAATAAACAAATCGACCCCTCTTAAAAAATCTTCCTACATACTAAACTATATAGAACTAAAAGTTTTCCTACTCTTAAATTGTTTACTATTAAAATTTTCAAATTAATCAATGGTTTATGTTGCTGAATTTTTTTTTTTTTTATTTTTTTTTTTTTTATCAATATCTACTTCAATACCAAATTTTCAAATAGTCACGAATTTGATATCAAAAATACAGATCAACCACAACTAGAAACATATAATCGGCCATAATAATCTGACAACAAACACTTTTGAAATTCGAATTGAGCAAATTTAATTAATTAGACGAATTTGGTAGAATAGCTGGAATAATCGAAGATATTCATCATGCAAATAAAGAAATTTGACTGGAAATTTAATAATTGCAAAACTAATTACAATTCAAAGTTAATTATACTTTTAAAGTAAAATGAAAATTTGAAAATTAACTAACCTCTCTGAAATTAGAGTCGTCGCTTTCGTTCATCTAAAAATTAGGTTTGAATGTTTGATGATCAAAGTGTGTGTTCGAGAAATCTAACGCTCATGAATGATGAATCTCTGTTTGGCTTTTTTTGGCCTAACACGTGACGTGTATATGGTGTATAATAATGGGGTTGTTAAATATCGCCCTCGAATCTATATCTAACGCCCACAACGTAAAATATTTTTACAAATTTACCCTTATATAGAAAAAAGGAATTTACCCCCCACAATTTAACCCCCAAACCCTCACTCCCTTTTCTCTCTACTAAAAACAATTCACTCTCCACACCACCACCACCACCACCACCACTACCACGTCCTTTTATCACCCACAACTTTTAACCACCTTGAAATTCAAGCTTTTATCACTACCACCTCCTCTTTTAACCACCCACCACCACCTCCTTCTACCTCCAATTTCTCAATCTACACCGTTAGCCGTGGAAATAACGAGAAAGAACAAGGGAATGGCGGTCGCCGGAGACAAGTTTTTTTATTTTTTTTTTATTTTTTTTTTATATTCTGAAATCGGGTTCAAACGCCCAAAAATTTCGACCAATCTAGGCTCAAACGCCAAGTTTGTTCGAACGAATGTATGGTTGTTCGAAATTTCTGGGCGGTTGAGATGAAACGCCTAGAAATTTCAAACACCTGGGCGTTTGAGCCTCGGTGGTTCGAAAAATTTGGGCGGTTCCCCCTTTTTTTTAGAAATTGGTTTTTAATTAAATGGTTTTTAGTGTTGTTGTTTGATATTTATAATGTCTACTGGGATCTATGATGAGATACGAATTAATCTATGATGTAAATCAAGGGTAGACTAAGAAATATGAGGGACGAACTAACAATTAATCTATGATGTAAATCATGCGATTAATCTATGATGTTAATTTTGGTAGTATCATGATATACTAATTACTCATAGTTTGGCGTTAGTTTTGATTGTGTTTGATATTGAATTATATTAAGCACTAAAAATCTGTTGTTGTTTGAGATTAATTCATTGTGTTATAAATATATAAGCTGGGATTGAATGTTGATTCGTATCACCACTTGATACTTGATAGTGTATGTCAATATGGAAAAAGCTTGAACCTTTGGAGATCAGTATCAAATTCTATTTGAGGGGAGTAATTTTTTTAAAATAAGGGTAAATTTGTAATTTTATTTTATTTTGCGGGCGTTAGTTAGATATTCGAGGGCGACGTTTAGCTTTCCACATAAAGAAGGGGTTTCTTTTTTTTTGGGAGAAAAGTGTATACTGGACTTTACTCAAACTCTACTAATGTGTTACGGCCTTTACGAGTTTACGAGCTATTCCGGTACAAATTTTTGCCTACACCCCTATATAGGTAACACTACCTGTACCCTCTCTTCATCATAATGACTTCATATTATAATTTTTCGATTTCAAATCATATGTAAAATGTTTATTTTGGTATATATAAATGTTCATTTTTGTAGATATAAATGTTCAGTTTTGTAGATATAAATGTTCAGTTTTGTATCATTAAATGTTTAATATTGTTAATACGATGATACTATATATTTATTGTTTCTTAAGCATAACTTTTTTATCTTTTCAAATGTATATATGTACACAAGCTCAATCTATTAATTAAAAGTATAAACTTTTATAAAAAAAATCAAAAGTGAAAATCTTAAACTTCAAAAATGTACATATCATATACTTAATATATATGTGTCTTACAAACTAAATCGAACATCGCCTCTAATTTAACATTTGGTATACATAAAAAGTTTTTAGAGTCATAGTCCTTGTGTAATAGATAGCCTTCTACGTACTCTTATGATATGTGTGTGTTTTCCTTGGTACATATCTTTTCATCAATACATACATTATCGTATTCAACTTTTTTTTTATTTCATTGATTATCCTGTGTGATAAGAGATCAAAATTTTATAAAGTAAAGTGTTAGTAGCAATCAAAACACACGTCCTATAAACAAGACATAAACATTTTAAAATACAAAATTTTAACATATTGCCAGAAAATAATGAACATAGTTCAATATGAAGATAAACAAGTAATATCATAATCTAAATAAACATTTTTCATTACGAGAATGAACAAATATTAAAATTTAATTGAACATTTTTCAATATGATAACAAACAAGTATTAAAATTGAAACAAATGTCTTTTAATGTGATAATGAATGAATAAGTATAAATCTAAATGAACATGTTTATATATGAGAATAAATATTGAATTAGATTGCTATGCAAATGAACATCTTTCAATATAAGAATGAACATATAATGTAAAGAGAATGAACATGTATCAAAATTAATTGAATATAAATGAACATGATATCCATCTAAAATGATCAGTGTTCCACCTAAAATGAAAATTTACTATAGACTGATATTCCTTATTAGATAAATAGAAAATATAGGAAGAAAATGGAGATAAGGACATTTATCGTAATTTTAATGAGCGTATATTAATATGTGCATGAACATATATTAGAACATATATGAACATTTATCAAAATGAAAATGAACATTTATCAAAATGAAAATGAACATTTATCAAAATGAAAATGAACATTTATATATGAGCTAAATTTATATTTCTATAATCATACGAAATATATCAAATCTAGAAAATTAGGGCAATTAAACTCTTTTTTTTTTTTTTTTTTTTTTTGTCCAGTAAATTTCTAAGCTAATAATACACCACAAATTAATTTAACTTAAAGTGGATTATTATACCAAACATCATTCTACTATAAGTATAAGAAATCATTGTTATGACAAAAGTTATATAAAAAAAAAAACCATTGTTATAATAAAAATTATAAGAAATCATGAAGTAATACTAGAATTTCATATACCTTTTTTTTTTTAAGGAAATCGTTAGCCGGGCAAGGAATTTCATATACCTAGAGAAAGCAATTGAAGAATAAGGCAAATAAAAAGTTAGGGTTTATACTTTTTTTTTATCAAAAATAAACAAATTAAAATCAACTTACAATTTGATTGTTAGTCGTTCTTTTGTAGAAATTTTCTGCCATTTTTTCTCTTACATACTATATTTTGGTAGAGATCTAAGTGTTTTGATTTTTTTTTTTTTAAAAAAAACAAATTTGGGAGATTTTAGAAGTGAGAAAATAGAGAGAGAAAGGGATAAAATTATGAGGAGAGAGAAATATAAAATATTAGTAAAATTACAGGAAAATTGATTTATAAGAGGAGAGAGAAAAAGTGAAAATACCTACACTAGGATGTAGGTATAGGTTTATTAAAAAAAAAAGATGTAGGTATAGGTTGTATACTGTGTGTGGGGAGGGGGGTGTAGGTACTAATACCTACACTAGGATGTAGGTACAAATTCTTACATAGACCCTGGTCCATCTATCCTATGTGGACCAGGCATTAAACACACTCTTCTTTTAATTAAACACAACTTTACCTTGTTCTTTAAATCCTGCCATCTTAACTTTTTTTTTTCCTTCTTTATAAGATCACTCTTCCCTATTTAATTTGTTTTTTTTACTTCTTTTTCAATCATAATTTAGATCCACAACATTGTCTAGATCAAAGAAATCATCAACATTATCTCTTCTTTTTCTTTTTTTTTCTCCTTAATTTCACTCTTCTGAATTTCCTCTCTCTTCTTCTTAACATTTTCTTGCTTCTTCTGAACTTTCTTCTTTTGAGACTCTTTCTTAGCCTTCTTTTGAGCTTCCTTTTTAGCTTGATTTTCAATCTCCTTTTGACTTTTCTTTTAGCTTGATTCTCAGCCTCCTTTTGAGCTTGATTCTCAGCTTCTTGGATTGGTGTTGGGTGGTGGATTTGGGTTGAAGTTCAGATTGGTTGCTGTAATAAAACAAATGCTTCTTGGATTAAAAAATAACAATATCAAAATTTGAACCGGAATCACAAATTATATGAAATAAAACCATAAAACATTTGAACAGTAATAACAAATTATATGAACTAATACCACAAAATATTTGAACATTGATCACAAATTATATGAACTAGAACCACAATATATTTGAACAGTAATCACGAATTATATGAACTAAAAACACAAAACATTTGAACTAATAAAATAAATGCTTCTTAGTTTAAAAAATAACAATATCAATTTTTGAACAATAATCATGAAATATATGAACTAAAACCACAAAATATTTGAACGATAATCACAGATTATATGTACTTAAACCACAAATCATTTGAACAGCAATTACGAATTATATGAACTAAAAACACGAAATATTTAAGCCTATAATTTACCCGGTTTCTCAATTTTCTGAAAGTTTCTTGTCTATCTCTTTTAAAATCTTTGGATCAACAATTGGACTTGTTATATCCAATTTCCTCTTCCTTTTGTTTCGGATTTGAGAAATTGTCCTGTTCAAATAACTCAGGGTTTCAATTCATCATTTAATTTCAAAATTCAACAATTATATAGGGTTTTAATTTACTTACAATTGATCTTCATCACTATCAGAAGAATTTGGGTCCCTAAAAAATGTGAAAATTGTTCAAAAATTATACCCAATTTACAAAAACTACGAATGAAATTTTAACAAATTATAACAACTACGAACGAGTAATTGCAAATTCAAAGAAATTTAAAGAAAATATAAGTTCAGAAATTTTATTTACCTTTCTGCATTGTTTTCTTGCTTTTCATCCATTGCTATGCTTGAATTTTCAGAGGAGAGAGAAACGAGAATTTTTCGTAGTGTTTGTGTTGATGGCTATAAGTTCAGAATTTATTATGTCAGAGTGTTGTTGGAGTTGAAAGAAAGAAAGGAGAGGTTGGGCCGCTTTATTTGTAATGTGTTTGTGATGAAGGATTGTGATATTTGGGCTAGTGATCCACCTATTTTAGATGGACCAGGGTTTACCATAGATCTATTAATAACTACAATACTCACGAGTATGGGCTTACTTAGCTTTTACATTTAGCTCATGTTATTTTACCACTGCTCATATTCTTACAAAAACATTTTGTTTTGTTCTTAGATTGTGTTAATTTGCTTAAAATAGATTTTTTTTTTATCCAACACCATCCTATGTGTCTCTTCACTCCCTTGACATGAAAATATTGTAACTTTTTTTTTTGTTTTTTTTTTTGAAAACATGAAAATATTGTAACTTAACAATTTAACATGAGAAATTTATGAATTAGATGATGCGGGATATCAAAATAGAAATGCCTAAGCAATGTAACATATACTCCCTCCGTTTTAAAAATAATAATATACTCTCTCCGTTTTTAAATACTTGTTCCACTTTTCATTTTCGATCGTTTTTTAAATACTTGTTTCATTTTCTTATTTGGAAAACTTTTTTAATTAATTTATTTCACCTAGTGGATCTACCATGAATTTTATTTTATCAATAATCAATAACTATATACTAAAAGACACACCAGCAATGACACGTGTCATCTCCTGGTGTGTCCTTAGTTTTTTATTTATTTTTTATTTTTTAAGAAACAAATCTTATACAAATATAGCTCTCTAAATTTATACAATATAATTACTTAAAAAAAAATTGACATATCTTTAACACAAAATATTTTTATAGCTATAAAAAAGACATTCTTAACATAAGTTTGATAACTTTTTACACATTTTATACCTGTAATCCCTTATTTTGATCAAAATTTGTCAACTATATTTTTAGATTTTATTTTGTTTGATTATAAATTATAACGATAGTTTAAAAATGATTATTGAAAATTTCCGTGCAAGGCATGGGACCTAACCTAGTTAATTTCATATTCTATAGAATAATATGAAAATACACAACCTCTTGAGCTATCCCTCACTCTCAAAATAGAGGGAGTTTAATTCATGTAAAGTTCACCTTATCGAAAAAAAGTTAATTAGATTAGATAAAAAAAATAAGTTAAAAAATT